TAGTATACGATATTTATGGCACTTCAAATACGTGCAAAGATATATGTCGAAAGACAAAAAATAGAAAATAAATTCCATCAAACATGACAGAGATGATATTATAGCATATGGTTTAACAGTACTATATACAGATATTTAGATATTTTAAAATCGAATTTATTTATTATGGAAGGTTTTTTGCTAGATTTATGAGTCTTTCGATAAGATCGAGATTCAAAGCGTATTACCAGAATTATTAAAGATTGAAGGATATTCTAAATCAATCAATCCATTACAGTCTCCAGATCTTACTGTAATAGAAAATTTTTAGGAAATATTAAATAAATTTCATGCTTATTCAATGTATATTCACCTTTGACTCTTATCATATACAGAAGAACATTGGATAATACAATAATTACATTCAAGTTTTTGAAAGTTATGTTTAACACTAGAACTACCAATGATTAAAATATAAAATTTCTATTAGAGCAAAGTAAAAGATAGAAGAAATCTTTATAATAAAATAAATTACTAAATCATGCTACACACATTACGAAAAATCATTTAAATCTTTAAAAATACACTACGTTACTATCTGTAAAATTCTTCACAAAAATTATAAATTGGCCTTTAAATTAACATTAGAACTTAACATAGTTCTAGTGTTGATAAAATATCACAAATTGGACAATGTTGAATACTATGTTCGTTGTACGCGATCGATCGCTTTAATTTTAATTTTCTTCGATTATAGGAGCAAACCCCGATCGAGGAACCTGACCAAGATGGTAAGAATATTTGTTAAATGATAATATAATAGAAAAAGTGCATTTAATCTATCGTTCTACAAAGTACATATGTTTCTTAACTTTATTGCCCCTTATCAGTTGTGTTTAATTCTCTGCAATTGTGGATCTTTACGTAATTTCATATTTTTATGAACGTAATTCAAGAAATAAAACTTGAACAAAAATTTGTTCCCACTATTAAATATTAGAACAAGTATTCTATTTTACATTTTATGTAAATATTTATACATATAGTGTTTGCATTCTCTGCATTTTTCTATCCCTAAATTTCTCTATGTAAAAATTCGCAGTCTAACAATCATTAAATATTATTATCGATAATAATTCACACAGGCAACATACGTATTCTACTAATGATAATTGGAGCATGTCACGTAGAAATATCGACTCTCAATAATCTGAATTTCGGAATGAAATCTGAATCTAATTTGAAGATTTTTAATTTAAAAGAAGGGAAGGGAAATTTTATTTTTATCTTCTTTCTTTTACGATGTTTTTTAACTTATTAATAGTGAATAGTATAGATTATAGTAGCATAATAGTTTCAACTACTGCATAATGTAGTAATGCTCCGTGAATTGGCAATTTTTTGCAAAAAGGAAAGTTGCATAAAATTCCGTATTATAATTAATTAATTTCCTTGTTATTGAGAAATTATTTTATTTCGAGGATTTCTGACTAACTTGGCCCAATAGTATAATAATGGACCAATAATGTAATATACTTTTATGATGGCCCAATAATGTAATATACTTTTAATATAATTAAATTTCGCTTAATCACCTTTTCTTTTTTTTAGAGGTACTCATACAAATGGCTTGCGTTGGAATTTGCGGCTCCGATGTTCATTATTTGGTTAATGGAAGAATAGGTGATTTTGTCGTGCGAAAGCCAATGATAATAGGCCACGAATCTTCCGGTGTAGTTGTCAAACTCGGAAAGAATGTGAAGAACTTGAAGGTACGTGCGAATGAACGACAATTGTTACATTTGGTCATTTAAATTGACCAAATATTGAATAGATTATCTATAAAACTTGTGTAAAAGATAGTGGTTACGTATATGTAAATGTATGTATGCATATGTATGCATGTATGTATGTGCCATTAGATTATATTTTGTAAATATTGAGTGAAAGGAGAAATAAATCGAATAATTGTCACGATTTCTACTTCAATTAAATTGAGTGCTCAGAGAATTAAATGCAATATATTACAATAATCAATATTCACGAATAAAAAGTTATTTGTCTATTTGATGATTTTGAGATAATTTGGAGTGTCATTTAAGTCGAATATCTAAATTATTTTTAGTATTGTTAATATACGTTAGTGCTAGAGGTAGATGTTCTATTTATAAATGAAACATGCTATACGTGTATAGTTTTTACCAATATTGTTACTGGACCAATGATACATATATACAAACATATATGTAATATATATATATATATATTACACATATATACATACATACACAATTGTATATGTAGTTAGTATTCTTGTATTATGTATTAAAAGATTCTAATGCAGGAGCACTCAATTACTTTTTGATGTTTAACGAATGTTCATGACTTAGGTCGGTGATCGAGTGGCCATTGAACCTGGAGTATCCTGTAGAATGTGTAAGTTTTGTAAAGAAGGACGTTACAATTTGTGTAAGGACATGGTATTTTGCGCCACTCCTCCGGTACATGGAAATTTAAGACGTTTCTATAAGCATGCTGCGGACTTTTGTTTCAAGTGAGTTAACATTAGCTTTGAACAAACAATGTTACCCATTTTCCTATTATTACGATGCATTTTTATACTTCGTCAACGGTATAAAAATTATGCTTCGAACAGATGTTATGAATTTTCACACTTAATTGGGTGTAAAGATACATATTTATAGGCGCTTACATGCGCCGACTGGTGTTTCCTCTTTCAATTTATGCAAATCTATGGAAATTTGAATTGTCACGTGTATCGTTAATCCTTTCACGGTGTTTAACGAGCATACTCATCATGAGGAAGTGATCAGTTTTTACACGCCACATAGAAAAATAAAATACTTTTTTTAGTATTTGTAGTATCTGTTGTAATTTAATTTAAATTTACAGTGGGTATTTATTCTGGCCTGCTATCCGTCATTCCTTGATTTTAATTATGCACGCCGATGTACATTTCCTGATTAAAATTCCATCGTTAAACCTAAATAGATCTTTTAAATATTGTAATTATACTGTGGGTACTGTAGTGTGGATATTTTATGTACTATGTGCATTCTATAAATTTTTACATCTCCAAGTTTCCGATAAATGCATAAAAATCCGTGATTAGTGACTTCGAATGAGAGTCGTCTATGTCATGTTTTGAAAATTGAGTGTAATGTGATTCAGTATATATAGATTGCAAATATTCCGTCAGAAGTTACTGCAAAATAGAATAAAAGGAGTACCTTGTGTGTTTGAAAGTACATGTAATTTTAAACCGCGTTACTTCGGAATGTGATAAATGTGATAAATGTAACATAGACTCTTATTCGAGGTCACCATTCATACACAGTGGAATCAAAAAAATATTGGCGTTTATGAAAACAAGCGATATATTAGCAAAACCCATTTCCATAAATAATTCACTACGTACAAAAGTAATGTGCGCAGTAGCAATTTTCAATGATGAGTTATGCAATAACAGAACAAGAAAGAAACAGCACAAGAAATATAAGAACTCGAGAGTCAAAAAGGTATTGACACATTTATAATTCTAGCGTCTAATCTGCATTTATTAGTGCATTCTATTATTAGAAAAATTACAAAATATTCTTTCGTAAGCACTGGAATGTTATCGAATGATATCGCACTAACAAGAAAGAAAAGTTTGTCTTTAAACCATTGAAAATATTTTACATTCTGTTCAAATACATTTGTTCAATATGTCCTTGATTTTCGAATCTTTATATTGTACTATTATACGTGTGTAACTCATACACGTATTGCTTCTGCATAGTAATTACTGTATTTACTGAAACAAATTTTATTAACGTATTACTTGTTTTCATAAAAATGTTGCAAGAAAACTATTGGTGTGCCAATACTTTTTTTTTTGACCATACTGTATAGATTTAATTTGTACAATATTTTTTGACTGTGCAGATTTAGTTCGTAAACGAAGAGAGCAATATTTGTAACAAAATCGTTGGATTGTAGGTTACCAGATAATGTGACATTGGCTGAAGGAGCACTGTTGGAACCATTATCGGTCGGTGTACATGCTTGCAAGCGCGCGAACATCGGCATCGATTCGAAGGTTCTGATTTTGGGAGCCGGACCGATTGGTCTGTTGTCGCTGTTGGTAGCGAAAGCTATGGGAGCCAGCAAGATCGTTATTACTGGTACGTTTCCTTTATCGTCCATTGATTCATTGAGAATTTTTCAAGTGTTTTCTCTTTTTTTAAACATGATGATTTTTTGATTTGATTTGATTTTTGAACGATAAAATAAAGGATCTCGGTCTGTTTCAGATCTGTCACAATCTCGATTGGACCTTGCGAAGAAACTTGGCGCTGATGCAACATTATTAGTGAAAAAGGAAGACACTGAGTCGAATATTTTAAAGAGAATAATCGAGCTTGTCGGAGAAGAACCTGATAAAACGATTGATGCGTGCGGAGCACAGTCTATGATCCGATTGGCGATTCTCGTAAGTCTTTCATTTTTCGTATATATTTTTTATTTCTTATTGATATGAATCAGTATAATTTAATAATAATACTCAATAATAACATTAATTAGTGAAATTTATCCACATAGACAAACTGGACTGTGGATATTTGTGCAAATCTATATTTTTAGGCGTGTAATTTCAAAAAGTAGAAACCTTTTTCATTAATAATTTATTAAATATTCCAACGGATACTGTAATTTGGGAATTTCATATGCTAGGTTTCCGCATCATGTGCATTATCGAATTTTCCATAAATACATAAAAATCTGCAGTTCAGTAATAATATATGTATAAATAAAATAGATGTAAATATATTTACCTGTACATTCGTAAGTTAAGTGACACGCATATTTAGGCGACCAGATCTGGCGGAGTGGCCGTTTTAGTAGGAATGGGCGCACCGGAGGTTCAAGTTCCATTAATGAACGCACTTGTAAGAGAAGTTGACATTAGAGGCGTATTTCGATACGCAAACGAGTACGTACAAATGTTTCTCATTTTTCTCAATAATAGCAATTAGTACAGTTAGTATATGCATACACATATTGTTATAACCATTACTGATGAATAAATAACGAGAGATCGAGATTGCAAAATTTTTTATGATATAATTTTATGACACAAGCTCATGAGATTGTGAGATAAACGATAATTTATCATTACTGTTTCAGTAAAGTGAAATAAAAAAAATGATAATGTTTTATTAGGATATTTTTGATAAAAAAAAGAAAGATACGTTTAAATTAAAAAATCTCTTCGATTGGTCTTCGATTGGACGTATACTATATAAACACACCACATAATCACATTTTTTATCAAAATGAAAAACAAAGTACATTAAATTTTTTTCAATATCGTGTATTTCGATAAAATTATGTAAGTGCGTTGTATTATACATAACTCTGCAAGCTTTTTGCTTAATTTTGCTTATTTTGATTCTATGTAACTTATGCATATATGTAATTTATATACATATATTGTTACATGTGAATATTTGTACATATATCTTCTCAAAGATCTTAAGACAGTTATTACATTTGCTGCAGAATTGAAAGAAAATCATAATAATTCATTTAATTTAATATATTAATTACATTTATTACATAATTAATAATTATAATTACTAATATATCAACAACTTAAAATAGTCTGCATCAAAAATTAAAATTTCATTAAAAATAAGAAATGTCCTATGATGTTCGAGTAGAAATATACAGACATTAATGTTAATGTTAATATTAGTAGTAGCACTTCAAAAAATGATGTTTTCATTTTGTTTTTCTAGCTATGCTGACGCGCTGAATCTCTTGGCTACTGAGAAAATTGACGTGAAGCCACTGATAACTCATAATTACAAATTAGAGGATACAGTTCAAGCTTTCGAAACTTCCAAATCAGGGCAGGCCGATGTCGTTAAAGTTATGATACATTGTAACTAGAAAACGGAATTACTTTAACACTGTTTTTTAATACTACGACAAGATGCAACAGTTATGAAATGTGCATGGAAAATCAAAGATCAAGCAATATTGCTGACACTAATATTATTAATGTTAAACATGTAGCATATGTGAACATAAACAATCCATTTATGTCTTTTATAAAGCATTGTTATCGGTTGCAATCAGATTATTGACGAAATATGAATGAAATACATACTGTTTGAATTTCCAAAGTAAATGGTAATTAGTTCATGCTAATCATCCATATTTAGTTTTATTGTGTATGTATGTATATAGATACAGTTTTTAATTAAATAATGACACATACTGATACACATTGGTACATATTAACATATATTTATACGTTTGTTGTTATGCTAAAGCATATTACGTTGTATGCAGCAGGCACGTGTACACGTGAATATTCTTTTTTCACCGATGTATTTTAACATTTGATAATCAATGTATATACGATAGAAAATTCTCATTATTTTAAAATTTCATTATATTAAAATTATATTAAAATTATTGTTATCAAAATGTGTTTTTTATTAATATTTTTTTCTATTATTATTCAAATATCAAGTGCAAATATTACTGTTCATAAAAATTAAAATTTGTATGTTTAAAATCAATTAGGTTCATTAGATTTCAATACATCTACATGTAGACTGCGGATCTTTATGCAATTCCAAATTTTTATAAAAAGAAAGTCTAAATAAAAATTTGTCTTTTCTACCAAATACTACTCCATTTCTGATATTATATAATATTTCAATTAAATAGTATTCCACTTTTATGTATTTTTGCATATTGTATGGATTTTTTAATATTTTTCTTCATATAAATGCATGGAAATCCGCTGTTTAGTAAATATGATTTTATTGTAAATCTTTTACATCACAAATAAAAATTTTTATATGTCACTAATATAACAGAGTAAACTCTACTACTATTATAAGCACTATGTAGATAGAAATCAAAATATAGTAAGTAAGAAAAGACAGAATTTTAGTATTTTTATTTTATTCAGAAATAATAAATTCATCGACTGTTTATACTTTCACTTTATTCAGGCAAGATGAACTTATGCCTTATTTTAATTTTTGAGTTATAGATAATTGAAGAAAATGTTCAATGTGTTTGCCTTATGCTTCAATAAAATGGTGCATGTTTTAGCATTGAATTTCATAGTTCCATGAAAATACCAAGTATTTCTCGAATAATTTCAAATCAATTTTGTATATCGTGCACATTATTTGACTTAATTGAATGCACGACAGATTTTAAATTGCATTAAAAATAAAAATTTAATGGATTGAGTTTTGCTTAATGCAGTGTTTTTTCTCTGCAATGTCTCGTTATCTAATAAATATTATGAGATAAAACTAATGTAATTTAAAAAAAAAAATCATATTTATTTGTTGCAAATTATAAAACGCTCAAGGCTTGAACAGTGAACGTATATCGATGGATATTTTTGTAAAATTAGATAGAGTTTAGACTACGATGTGCAGTAGCATGCACTGGGGCACAAAGTGGAACATTTTCTTTTCTATTATCTATAACTCGAAAGCCAAAGTATGTAGAATATAGATTTATATGATATTTTTTACTTATTTTATTTTGTAGATTTTTTAATTTATTTTATTTTGTAGATCATTCAAAATACGCATTTAAGACTCACTCTATACAGATAAAATGTAGGATGGAAGGCAATGGTCGAGCGTTGCTTTTCGATCAATGGTTTCCGATGACTCAGAAGTATGTATTCGCGAGAAGAAACTTAACCATCTGTGATATTGTCTGCTGACAATGACACTGCATGACTTCTTCTATTAGCCTTCTAATATCCGAGTGGTGCTTAAAACGTACAGCCTGTTTTCGAGTTACTCTCATATTGGAGTTCTCCTTTGTCGAGATATGCAACACGCAGTGATATGTACTTTGCCGGTACTTTATCTTAATTCCTAACTGGTATCATTGAACGTTAGGTCAATACCAATTTACTGTTGAATTATTTAATTTTGGAATTTTTTATTGCAGAGTAAAAATAAAATGTAAAGTTAAATACTAATTAAAAGTATGGTAACATAAGTCAATAGTCCAATGATACTATTTGTGATATAGAATATTTATAAATTTTCAAAGTTTTAATAGACAATTTTCCCCGGAATCATTTTCGTATCACATTCTACTATATTGATTAGGATAGATTCTTCACCGCCTATTAAATTTTAACTAATAATATAACAATCGATATGAACAATATATTTAAGACAAATGACCTTAATTAATAAATGAAATAATTAATTTAACTGTTTAATAGAAAGTTTGTGAAAATTATATTAAATAATGTTTAAAATGTTATAGAAATAAAATAATTTAATTGTTTTAAATGAATTATTCAAACTATAAAATAATGCATTTCTATGATTATAGATTGAATTATTTATATATTAAATATATTATATCTATAAATATATTATAGATTGAATAATCATTTATTAAAGAACTATTTATAACAATTAAATGATTTTATTTACAATAACAGAAAAAACAGTTATAATACATATATTTCTTGCTATCTGAAACAATAAACGAGTGAAAATTTTTATATGTTGCACGATTATTCTGAAGCGACGATTTTTTTCTACATAAATTTTTATTTAACACATATCAATGCAATTGCAATTAAAAAATTAACATTATGAAAGTGTAAATTTAGTTTCAATTTTAATTAGTAAAATTATTATTTTAATTATTAAATAATATACATATATTCTTAAATATATTCTTAAATTGCTGTTAAATTTAGCATTAGAATTGTTAAAAATTACGCAGTGTTATAATAGATGTGTGTATGTGGTGCGTGCGCGTATAAAAGCATATAATAAAATAGCGCGTGTGTGTGCATGTGTATGTCAGCGCCACGGTGAAGCACGGAATATACTTCCTACGATAATCGAACGTAATCGATATTTCTCACGATCGATTTTTAAGCGAGAACATGGCGGAAGAAAGCACACCTCGTCTGAAAGGGAGGAAAGTATTATCCAAAAAAGTCATTCAGAAAGAAGTGTCATCCAGAAGTTCTCAGGTAAAAATTTAAATTAATAATTGTTAGATTTGTGTTTGTGTTGTAAATTTTTAAGATAAAATATGTATTTCTGGTTTCAACTTAAAGTAATATTTAATCAAATAATTGTTACATGTAATTTTCAACAATTAATGAAATAATGGCATATAAACATTTAAACAGAACGTACCATACTAAAAGTTATTTATAATTTTATGTCAAAATTTAATTTCAATTCTAACCAAATAGTGTGATTTTGTAATATGACTAACTTATTATTATATATAATATGCCCTTACTTCTATAACATTGTAACATTTTCTACTCATTTGTTGATTTTTTAATTTCATATATTGTGTATTTTTTAACAATTCTAATACTAAATTCAACAATAATTTATTAACTATATACGTATTTAATGGTTAAATAAAAATTCTACTGTGTAATATAATAAAATTTCTCATGTCTCAGTTTTAAGTATTGACAATTTTTCATCAAGTGTGTGAATATTATCGTTTTTTTTTAAGACTTTGTCATGATTTTGTGTCTTTGATTTAGACCAATTTTACTTTTTTATTTCAAATTATCATTTCGTGCGAAAAGCGCGATTACAGCGCCCCAACGGTAAAATACGCAATTACTTCTTACGATTCTCGAACGTAATCGATATTTCTCATGATCGATTTTTAAGCGGGAGAGCCGACCTTTAATGGCGGAATGAAGTACACATCGTTCGTAAAAAAGGAAGTGTTATTCAGAAAAATCATACAGAAAAAAGTGTCATCCAGAAGTTCTCAA